ATGGCATTTGTCGCGTCTCCGCTGTGCTCGAACAATCGTTGATCGGCATTTCGGCGCTGATTAAACGAATCGCTGTCGCACCGTTTAATTTATAATAAGCCCGGCTTCGCGAAGTTCCTCGATGATCGACATGATCTCGTTGTCGTGGGCATTGTTGCCAGCTTGACGCGAAGCGTCGAGCAATCGCAGACGATCCACCAGCTCGTTGGGGTCGTCCCAGTGCACGTAGTCGACCTTATTATCGGTTAGCGTCATCGCGCGAGGCGTGAATAATCCCTTTCCGGATTTTTTCTTCTTGGATCATCCAGTCGATATCAACGGTGAGATTACAAATTGATACTTGTATCCCACGTTGCCCTTTATTTGCTCGGGAGGATCGTGTTTGAATTTATGAACAGTCATTGTCAACAGTATGCTCCTGTACTTAATCTTATCGTCCTCCGTGTAGAGCTTGTCATCGGGTATTTTCTTGAAGATCAACTCATAAATAACCGGGTGTGCCGGCGTAGCGTACGCCGTCGATATAAATGTTATCCGCTTTGTCCATGTCAAAACGTTTATTACCGAGCATCAATTCATTCTTGCCGAGATAAACGCCGTCCACTATGTCTATTGTTGGACATGCGCCCAAAACCTCTGCAATGTAAATTCGGCTCAGTGGACCCAAGTGATCTTGCAACGTTTCTACAAACAATTCTCGACCCTCCGACGTTTGCAACCGCTTTTGAACGGTCGTCCCGATCGAGTCGTCAGTGGTTTCGAAAACATCCACGTTTTTGAGAAATTCGGGACTTGTACGTTGCACGGTTCGCGTCGGTGTAAAGGTTATCGGTGTAGAGGTTATCGGTAATACTATCGATCGTTTTGATTGATCAGATTTACACGGTGTCGATGACGATCCGACCAGAAGTCTAATCGTTTCCTCTTTCTCTTCGGTGTAGCATCCTCCTTCTCCTCTTCTTCCTTCCCGCGCTGTTGAACGGATAGCGATTCGATTTTCGCGTCAGCGTCGCTCTCCGTCGGCTCCTCTTTTTTCACCGCGATCAAGCTCGAGTTGTCAACGATCTTTTTCAACGGCCCGATGAGAGGTTTAAAGTGCGTGTCCAACTCAATGTCCTTTTCGATCTTACCGGTCTTCAAAGCGCGAAGTTTCTTGCGAATCAAATTACTCGTCTTCGCAATCTCTTTCACGACCTTCTCGCGTTCGCGAATATTCTCGCTCCCGTCGATCGCAGCCATCGCGGAAAAAAAGCAGAGTGTCGATCTCTTTCTGTAACGCTAACGTTTCACCTCCGACGAGGTATCGGCAACGACTGATCGCTTTTACGGTATCGCGAACACGTTAAATCCTTTTCTGTATCGACCGTTCGAAAGCGCGCTGTCCTTGTCTATCACTACGAATCCATACTTTTGTTGCCAACAATCGTGGCACAACGCGCAAAATTCATCGTACGACATGTCAGTATTCACGTGATCGTTGTACACGTGTTTCAAATTGGTACCATCCTGTTTGAACAGGATCAGCAGATTCGCGTTGTCACGTATCAGATGTTTAGGTATTCTCGCGTACGTCTGACAGAGATAGAAAGAGTCGACGCTCGAGTGCCTGCCCATTGAGAAATACTCTCTCACAGCGTCTTGCTTATCGCACGCTACGTCATCAAAGACGAAGATCGAGTTTGGACGCGCGTCGCTCGGTGGAATGACATCACTGTTATTGGAGAACGTAAAGTAGCCGATTTCGTCAATCGATGTCAATAAATTCTCCAGATATCGATATTTCGGCTGTTGCAGCGATTTCGAGTACACGTACACGTTTTCGAAACGTACACCGTGCGGACTTTCCAGCAAGCTAATCAGAACGTTGGTTTTACCGCAATTCGAAGGGCCGCAAATGATCGCGCGTATAGTAGCCGACAGCATCGTACCGTGTCTGCGCTTCTCCGCGTTGCCTCCCATCGACCGTGATCTGTCGTCGCAATTCGTCACGCGAATCGCCAACGTTTGTCGCACGAATCTCATTTTTTTTCCACACTGCCGACTTTCTGGCTGACTCAAACGCCTATTTATAGGCGAGCGGAACCGCAAATCGCTCAGTAGCAAAAATGTTTGTTCTACTGTCGAGACCTTCCGATATTCGCGACTTGAGCGCCGAACAGCTGCAATTTGTGCCGAAAGCCGTTCTGCTGCAAACGTGCGGCGATCACGTCCACTACGTGTGAGACAAGCTTATGGAACATATAAGGGCGGATTTGGAGGTTCGCTGTTACGAACATTACAATCAACCGTGGTAGCGAACGCACGTCGACGGACCCGCGCCAATGATAAAGGATTGCGGCGAATGTCAACGAAAAAAAATAGTGGAGGCCTGTTAAATCGCGCGATAAATGCACTTCCGTTCGAATTACACATTCCCAGCTATCAATTTTGCGGTCCGGAAACTCGTTTACAAGAACGATTGGCGAGAGGCGATCAAGGTATTAATTCATTGGACGCGTCGTGTCGCGAGCACGATGTAGCCTATTCGCGTAACCGCGATCTCACCGAGAGACACGCGGCGGACGAGATACTCGCTGCAGAAGCGCGAAAACGCATTACCGCGAGAGATTTGACTCTCGGAGAGAGAGCTGCCGCTACAGCAGTCTGGGCGTCCATGAAGGCTAAGACGAAGCTCGGAATGGGCTTGAAAACGAAAAAATCGAAGTGAAGAAAAAGTTGACAAAAAAACGGATACTTTCGACAGCGAAACGAGGCGGCGTATTGCCGATTCTACCGTTGTTGGGAGTTCTCGGTTCTCTGGCCGGCGGAGCGGCGGGAGTCGCAAAGGCCGTGAACGATAACAAAGCCGTGCGGCGTCAGCTGGAAGAGATGCAACGTCACAATTGCGCCGTGGAAGGTCGCGGACTTTATCTCGCTCCGTACAAATATGGACGAGGGCTGTATCTCGGCCCGCACAAACGCGGGCGAGGAGTAGCGTCGAAAATAAAAAAAAACGTCAAAAAGACGTTAAATATGCCCGCGGGTATTACGACAAGGCGTATGCGCGTACCGTTCTTCAGAGGTGTCTTCATGCGTGATTTGTTACTGATCGGCGGTGTACGTCGAAACGAGAGCGGTATCGTGAATTTGGACGATGCAGCGGGTCCTGGTACTCATTGGGTAGCGTACGCGAAGAGGGAAGATCGAGTCGTATATTTCGACAGTTTCGGCAATCTTCGACCGCCGAAAGTATTAGTGCAATATTTCGGGCCGAGCGTGACGAAGATTGAGTACAATTGCACGTTTTATCAGCGATATGATCAGAGCATCTCTGGACAATTGCGCCTGCGATTTCTCCGGACGATTGACGCTAATTTAAAACCTGACGGTGCGCCGTGGTGATTCAGTATTCGTTAACGGTTTCCGCCGACATTTCTATAACGTTCACGTTGACCGGGAAGAGCAGCATCCTCGCGGAGCACTATTTTCCCGCCGTGGATCTGAGCGACGGTGACTACAAACTCGGTCTAACGTGTTTTGAGACTTATCACACGATTCTGAACGTGAATTCTTCGAACAATAAATTTTATTTCGACGAGGATGACACGGAAATTACGATTCCCGAGGGATCGTACGAGATACGAGCCATACATAAGTTTTTGAAACGCGAAATTTCACGAAAACGCCCGCGACGCGTAAATCGTTCCAACGACGATCGTACGTCGGTCGCGAATATCACGCGAGAGGCGACCGCTCGCGCGAACGGCTACGAAGACGAGGCCGCGGAATACCCGATAGTGCTCCGCGCAAATTACAATACGATGAAGAGCGAGATCAAGTGCGCTTTGAGAGTGAACTTTAACAAACCGAACAACGTTGGATTGCTGCTGGGATTCTCGTCGAAGCGTATATTGCAGCCGGGACAGTGGCACGAATCGGACGCGTCGATTAATATTATCAACGTAAACATTATCTGCGTAAAGTGTAACGTGACCACGGATGCGTACAGCAACGGCAAACGTGTTCACACAATACACGAATTTTCACCGAGCGTACCACCGGAATATAAGTTATCGGAAACGCCGGCGCAGATCATTTACCTGCCGATCATCGCGCGAAGCGTTACAGATCTAACGATACGCGTCACGGATCAAGACGGACAATTGCTCGATTTTCGAGGAGAAGAGATCACCGTCAGATTGCACGTACGACGGCGACAGCGATAACGCGCGACGTGTGACATGCTCGTGTTGAACGACTCGGATCACGCGACAGATAAAAATATCTTTACGACTGCGACGATCGACGATATCATCAAATCGACATTCGGTAGCGTTAAAACAGAGACGAAAACAGAGACGAGAAAGAAGCTCAACGCATCGAACGTTAAATTTTTACAATTTCTGGGATTCGCGGTACGAAACATCTGAACGATGACTAAAATTCTTAACATCGGAGGCGAGCCGGTCTTTGACGATCGCATCGTCAAGATCGAGACTCACACGTACAACCCGTACGCCAACACAACGTTCGAGTATAGCGACAAGATACGAATACCCATACAACATCAGGATCTGTATACGTTGCCGCGCGAAAGTCGGCTCAACGTCGGAGGGACATTGACGGTGACCAGAGCAGCCGACCAAGCCGATAACGTGGTATTGGGGAATAATTGCGTCGCGTTCATGTTTGACGAAATTCGATACGAGCTCGATGGTGTGGAGATTGATCACTACAGAAACGTAGGAATAACCAGCACGCTTAAGAACTACGTAACGGTATCGTCCGACAGAAGCGTGATCCTGCGAAACGCGGGCTGAGAACCACATAATAACCCGAACGGATACTTCAATTTCTGCGTACCGCTCAACCTGTTACTGGAATTTTGCGAGGATTACAAACGCGTGGTGATCAACGCTCGTCACGAATTAATCTTGATACGATCGCGCACCGACAACAATTGTCTGGTGGGAAGTCTCGCGTTGGAGCCTGCTGTCAAACTACTCAAGATACAGTGGCGAATGTCTCACGTGGTATTGAGCGAGGTCAACAAGCTGTCGATGTTGCTCGCCTTGAAAAACGGACGATATTTAAGTATGGGTTTCCGTTCGTGGGATCTGTACGAGTATCCCCTGTTGCAGAACACGACCAAGCACTCATGGGCCATTAAGACCGCGACTCAGCTCGAGAAACCGCGATACGTCGTCTTCGCTCTGCAAACGGGTCGGAAGAACGTCATGTCCGTGGACACGAGCCGATTCGACGACTGCAAATTGACCAACGTGAAACTCTACCTAAATTTGGAAATCTATCCGTACGACGATTTGAATTTGGACTTTGGTAAACACAGATGGGCGATTCTGTACGATATGTACGCGCGTTTCTGCAAGGACTATTACGGATACGAATATCTCGAGCCGAACCTCACCGTTTCGACTTTTCAACGTAACGGCCCGTTCGTGATCATCGATTGCTCTCGACAAAACAAATCCGTCAAAAACGTCACCGTGGATGTCAGACTAGAATTCGATTGCATGGAGAACGTACCGCCGAATACCTCCGCGTACTGTCTCGTCATACACGATCGCGTGATCGAGTACAATCCGTTGACCAACGTGGTGCGCAAAATAGTCTGAGTGTTCGCTGCAACGTCGACGAAAATTTTCTCTCTCTTTAACTCCCGATACAAAATGATAGGGGAAAAAAAGGGAGCAGGATATAAAAATCAGAGTGTTGTGAAACGCGCGTCATTCCTCTCGATTCACGCATCAAAGAAAGAGAGATATCTCTTCATGTTCGCACCAACGTTCGTCGACCTGCAAGGTTTCGTCGGGATAAAATTTGTCGTAAAGGAGGCGGCGGTGCAGAGAAACGTGGCCGTTCTGGTGTATTACACTTTTACATGCCCCATGCCGTGGAATCTCCTCACAAAATCCGACAAATCGTGCGCTTCCTGGTTAATTCGCAATCACCATGGACTACGATGGGAAGACGGAAACGTGCCGTACAGCAAGGTGAAGCGTTTAATTACATCAACCGTGCTCGGTGAGGAAGAGGACAACGACGACGACGAGATGCCGACTCTCGTGTACGTCAAGGGATGCCAGAAACAAGAATGGCTGATGGATCTGCTTGAGAATAAACCGAGAAAAGACCTAAACATCGAGACTCTGGATGCGGATACAAAGATATCAAATCTTTAAATATTCTAGATGCTACCAATACTATGCGATGTGGAAAACACGTTAAGGTGTTCACTTCTCATAACCGAGAGAAAGAATGTATTCCGTTGAAGGAAGCAACGGCGGTAACAGTGGCAGTAGACGTATGAATTATTACGTACCGATTCACGATGATGATTATGAAACTCCATCGTACGAGAACAAGTGTAACAAGTAAGTTTTTCGTTTTTTTCTTAAATTATTAAGCTTTATGAACGGGGATTGTTTCGCCCCGGAGGCAAGATTTGCTAAATTAAGCGAGTTTACTCGAAGGACCAGAGGGGGGTAGTTAAGATCCCCTCACGACTAACGATAACGCGAAAGATGCGCATGCAGCAAGATTGTAAAGCGAAAAGCGACTCACCGGGATGCCCCGGTCGCCTTGGCTCCGTCGGGCTTCGTCCTGTCCGGGCCTCGTGGCCGCTCAAGTGTCCTCGTCTGATTCCGCATGCAAAAAACAAAGCAAGGCAGGCACGTGCAAGCAAGCGAAAGCAAAGCAGTAGCGAGCGTAGGCAGGAAGTCGTGATCATGCGGCCGGCGCGTCTCAACATCCCTTGTGTGTGTGTGTGTGTGTGTGTGTGTGTGTGTGTGTGTGTGTGTGTGTGCCGCAAGGCGGCTTGCCGAAAAGGGTATGTGCCGTAGGACGGCTTGACGACGAAATGCTGTGCGTCGACGCGATGTTTCATCGATTGAGTATTGTCGAGACGGTCGATGTCAAGTTCACGCAATTCTCCAAAATCGCGTCCACTGTAACGGATCTTGCGCAAGTATTGAATGTAATACGCGATAGCGATGCCTTCGATAAACATCAGCTCGTCGATTGTGAGCTCGCAGTTTTATTTTTTAGTGCGCTACCGTAGTACGTAAAAACAAAAAAATATGTAAAAGAAGAAGAATAAAAAATGAATTTTTAAAAATATAAATCATAACTTAATTTCTTCACACGCATTTCCATTCGAACCGTATATACTCCAGTCAAAATACGGAAAAAAGAGGGGGTACCTAGAAAAAATTGCAACACAAGGTTTTATTACGTCATTGTGTTCAGAAAAATATACTGAACAACATATTCAAATTCCGCCATTTTCCGCTATCCCTAAGTATGTTTTTTATTAACAATTTATAAACAAATTTGTTTTTCTCCACAAATACGATAAATTTTGAAATTTTTGTAGAGATCAAAGTTGTAGAGCAGACAAATATCTACAAAAAATATTCTTATGAATTTTTTGAAATGTCCCATATTATATGAGATATTTGCCACAAGAGCTACTAGGCTACGCGCGGAGCGGAGCGGAGAGTTCTAACAAGCACACGGCAGTCTCTACCGGTCGCTGCTAGTTCTCTAGGTTCTACAAGGAACTTGAGTTGCGGTTCTCGATACT